ATGTCAGAGGCGAGGAAAGAAGGGAAGAGTACATCCAACATTGAATGCAATGGGGAACTGAGATAGTTCATAATTAATGCAATAAAATTAAATATGTAAATATAATAATTTATTTTTCTTGACTATAAAGTTGTTTCTTATAGAAAATATGGAAATTGCTTTTTTAAACTGTTTAATTACTCATACTTCTGTTATCCAGGGACCTATGTTTGAGTCTACCCTCTAAAATTTACCATCTGTATGGCTGTGAAAAAAGTCATTGAACCACTTATGTTTTCTTGTATTTCATTCAGGTAATGTGTCTAAATACTTTTAATAGTATTTAGTCAGTATAAGTAATAACAGAAGTTGAGAAGTGTACTATACATACAATTTTAAATCCAAAAAAAATTTTTTTTTAAACCAGGGATTGAACCCAGGGACACTTAACCCTTAACCACTGAGCCACATCCCCAGCCCTTTTTAATTTTTATTTTGAGACAGGGTCTGGCCAAAATGCTTAGGGCCTTTCTAAATTTTTGAAACTGACTGAGATTGCAATCCTACTGCCTCACACTCTTTTTAAAATATTTTTTGGTTGTTGATAGATCTTTTATTTTATTTATTTGTATGTGGTGCTGAGGATCGAACCCAGTGCCTCCCACATGCTAGGCAAGCGGGCTACCACTGAGCCACAGCCCCAGCCCCTGCCTCAGACTCTTGATCAGCTGAGCAGAGGTTTTTTTCTCTTTAAAACTTAAAATCTGGGCTAGGGTTGTGGCTCAGTGGTGGAGCGCTCAACTCACACGTTTGGGACCCTGGGTTTGATCCTCAGCACCACATAAAACAATAAATAAGTGAAATAAAGGTATGAAAAAAACCCGTAAAATCTGGATACATACCATGTTTTTTTTGTACTTCTAAATATATTTCACATGCCCTTGTCCACAGACAGTCAAAGGTTTCCCAGTGATGGGGAACTGAACCAAATCTTAGGGAAGCAGGAGGAATTGGATAAGAAGAAGAGGTGGTAGGGTGTTAGAGGCACTGTGGAAGGTGTGAGCAAAGGCACAGAGAAGAGCAAGCAAATGACTCTAGGCTTTAATAAAAGGTATGAGGGACATACAGAGATAAGGTTGGAAAGAGATTATGAGGGGCTCAATAAATGATGTCACAGTAACCTGACATTTTTCACATGAGACACACCAGGGTTAGTAGACCTTATTTGCTTTGGCACTCCAGGATCTTCTGAAGGTATGTCAAAGGACACACACTATTTTCTTAATGAACAAGTGATACATAGGAAACCAGAATGTCTCCTGAGAATTTCATCTGGGTGCTCCAAGTAGCGGATGTAATGCCACAGGGAGGAAATTGGGAGAAGCAAGATTTAAAGGCTGTATTTGGCAACAGTCTTAAGAGATAACCATAATCTGACCTCCGTTTTAAAAAGCCGCACAGATGATTATGCAGTGCAACTTCAGGTGATATGTTAAGCCCTACAGATCCATGGATTTCCTTCAGGGAGCCTGCATGACACTACAAAAGAACATGAAGTTCAACAAGCATTTCTTAAGGGAAAGTATTCACAACCTTCATGAGATTCTCAAAGGAGCTGCAACTGCAGGAAGGTTAGGCACACTGGATGAGGGAGCAAGTGAACTGTCAGATGTACGAGAGGGATAACTGTCTAGGCAGGGAAGGAGACAGAACAAAGACCTCTTCTTGAGCCTGGAAGAATCCATGGTTAATGATCCTGAGAGTAAATGTACGTGCATATGCATATGCATGTTAGGGGCTGTCAAAGTCTTTCTCCTGGGCTCTCAAACTACCTTTAGTGATTTCATTATCAGTCTTTCATCACTGTCTATTGGTCTCCTTTGTGACAGATTTCCTGGTTTTTTGTTTGTTTTTGCAGTACTGGGATTGAACCCAGGAGTGCTCCAGCACTAACTTACAGCCCCAGCTCTTTTTATTTCTTATTTTGAGACAAGGTCTCATTAAATTGCCTGGGCTAGCTATGAACTTGCAATCCTCTTGCCTCTAGGTTTCCAAGTAGTGGGATTACATGTGTGTGCCTCCATGAAAAGTCTCTTGCTCAATCTTCATGCCAATCACCAGACAAGGCACAGAGTTTTTAATAATTATGATAACTAATATGATAACTCTTAGCAACTTTGGGAAATGGAACTTTGGAATTCTCAACCACTTCTAACAAGACCAGATAATGGAGAAGGGAACAGAAAAACCTAAGCCAACTTCAACAACAAAGGGTGATCATTCTTCCCCTATTAGAAACTGTAAGGAAAATTGCAGGTTATAATTTATTTTGAAAGTTATAAGTAAATTGGGAAGAGTTGTTGTTAGTAATCTACTTGGCTCACGCCATTTGGGTAGGATTGAAGGTCTTGAATCTGGATGTGGGATTGTGGAAAGCCAGATGCAAACATGAAATTTAAGCAGAAGCATAAGAAGTCATAATATATACATAAAAATGTATTATGCAACGCTTGGTTTTCACATATAAATAAAAAAGTTTGGTATATTCTCTTAAATACAAATAAGGTCACATAATCCAAGCAACTGAAGTTTGGCAGGGGCACTGAAGGACACCTAATCGAGCTAATGCAGAGTAAGTGTTCTGTTTTGCTATCACTGTACATGCAGATCCTTACACTGGAGCCTCTTTCCCACCTTTGATCATACATTATATGCCTGTAGTAGCTCCTAACTTTGGCAGCCCACTACATTCCCCTCCAGGGTTTTAAAAAATAATGAGGCATGGACATGGCAAGTTTTTAAAGTATGCTGGGTGATTCTAACATTCGAACAAGGTTGAAAACCATTGCTTTATTTCAAGCTGAGTCAGTGATTCCCAAACCTTCCTTTGCATCAGAATCACTTGGGTGACTTTCCATCTAAGAATGGAAATCTTTAGCCAGGATATTACAATCATCCATGAATAGAGGATTTGAACTTGTCTTAATGGTCATAAAGTACCCTTTGGTCTCTTGGGTCAAGTTCACAAAGCCATCTCAAACCCACAGACTGGCTTTCTTGACATTCTGAGCTTCCTGATCAGGCAGGGGGAAAAAAACTAACTTGTTCCTAATCTCAGCAGAGAAACTTGGTTTATCCTTGAGGGTCTGCTCCTAGACAGAGAGCAGGAACAGTCACCGTTAGGGTCAGTGAGGACATGAGTATTTTTTATTCCTACTTTTGAATTCTTTTGATTTCTTGTATTTGTATCTCTAGAGTGAAAGTGAGAAACAATGGTGCATGTACTTTCACAAAAGATTTCTTGAAGGAGGAAAACAATAAGCTTTCTTCTGTATATGAAAATGCTCTGTAAATTAGAAAACACTATGTGATTTATATTATTTAGTCTTGTAGAAAAAAGACAATAAAAGCATGGAACTTCTTCAAAGAGTTGCACCAGACTGCTTATCACCAGGCTCAGTGTTTATAATAATACACGCTACTGGAATGTCACTGGAATGGGGTCAGGAGATAGACCCAGAAATCAAGAGACCAAAATTCTAGTACTATATTTGCTACTCCTGGTCACATCACCAAAAACACACCCCAAAATCTATCACTTCAGTTTCTTTACCCAAAAATGAGACTACATACCCTTTCTCAGGCTCCCTCACAGGTCTGGATGAAGGTTACAGATGGTTAGGAGAGCAGCAGGTCCCAAGATTGGTTACAGGTGGTCACTTCTTACTTGGCCTCATGTTATATGACCACTTTCAAGTAAATGAGAAAACACTTCTGCAGTGTTCTAAGGATGATAATGGTCTATGGAAAAACATGAAATCACTGACAGGTATCATCACTATACATGAAGGCAAACAACAATGAAGTTTTATATAAATACAAGGCAATGATATTACAAAACTCTATTGCATAGTTTTATAAATCATTTTTCCAGGAATCAAGGCTGAACAGCAACAAAGATATCTTACCTGAGCCAGTTTCTTCAACCTTCTAGAAGTTTTCACATTCTAACACTTCTGAACTTCTTAAGAACCAAATTAACATTTTAGGAATCCCATTCTGCCTCCTCCCTCTCCCTTCACTCCCCTCTTTGGTCTTGTCAGAATTAGAAGAGTTTACCATTTCTTCTAAATACCATCCAGAATGTGAGAATGAAACCCATACTCAGATCATGGCTGGGCTTGAGCAGAATAAAAGCAGAAGCAACTGGGACATAACTCTAGGCAAGCTTTATTCTTTGACTCCTCTATCAGAGAAAGGGCATGCTAGTTGCATCTCACCTAAAAGGAATACAATGGGAATTAGGGGGCTGGTGGAGCTGTTTGAAAGGAGTTGTCATCCTTAGCAAATGAATGTAGCTGTGTGTTGTCTCCATCATTCCTTGAGCACCTGGCCTTGCAGACTGGGGAATGGTCAGAACAGACTCATAGGAAGTCCCCAGAGCTTTACTATACCAAGGTTCAGGAGGAGGAGGCATAGACAACAAATGTTTTATATTTCTGTTCATTTTAGGAGCTGTAGATTGTTTTTTTTAAAATTACCTAGGAAGCGTAAAGCTTATATTCATAGATGAGTTGTTGTTGAATGCCTACCCCAAATGGTTTCCTTAACTAGTTATCACTTAACCCAGAATACTATAATACAAAGATCAAAGCTCCAAAATTCAAAAAAGGAAAACCACCTTCCTGTTGCTCAAGCAAATACCAGAGTTTTAAAAAACAAAATTAAGCAAAAAAGACCTTTCCCCAAATAGGCTTGTTATCAACTAGCTTTGTACGACCCATTCCTAAAAAAGCCACATTCCATTTCAGAAAACATGACTGCTTAGGATAGAGTCCTTGCCTTTAGGTGCTTAGTTTTCTTTTGCTTAGTTTCTGTAAAGTAACCTCCGAAATGCTTATTTGTGCTGCCTTTCTGAAAACTGTGATTTGTTTTTACAAAGGAGAAAGAAAATCGCAGAGGTGTCTAATTTGGCAGGTAGCATGTTATGACCAGCCGCTAAATGTCTTCCTCACCCTTTCTTATTCAACAAGATGGGTTCTGTGGTGTCGCATGAGGTGTGAGTTCGAAATGAAAGCCGCACCGCACTTCTCACATTCGTAGGGCTTCTCCCCAGTGTGGGTTCTCTGATGCACAGTAAGGCTCGACCTCTGCCTGAAGGCCTTGCCACACTCGTTACATGTGTAAGGTTTTTCCCCATTATGGATTCTCTGATGAATAAGTAGATAGGAACTACACGTGAAGGCCTTCCCACACTCATTACACACATAAGGAAGATCTCCACTGTGAATTCTCTGGTGGACAATAAGGCAAGAGAGCTGACTGAAGGCTTTCCCACATTCACTGCAGTCATAAGGTTTCTCTGCAGTGTGAATTCTCTGGTGCACAATAAGGTGTGAAAAACAACTGAAGGCTTTCCCACACTCTTTACACTCATATGGCTTCTCACCAGTATGGCTTCGCTGATGGACGATAAGATTTGCACTCTGGGTGAAGGCTTTGCCACAGTCATTACAAGCAAAGGGCTTCTCCCCAGTGTGGATCCTCTGGTGAACAATGAGGTTTGAGCTCCGAGTAAATGTCTTTCCACATTCATTGCATTCATAGCATTTTTCCGTAATGTGGACTTTCTGGTGCCGGGCAAGCTGCGAGCTGTAACTGAAGGCTTTCTCACATTCACTACACTTAAAGGTTTTTTCTAAAGAGTGAATTTTTTGGTGGACAGTCAGATTTGAACTCTGAGTGAAAGCTTTCCCACATTTTGCACAAACGTAAGGTTTCTGTCCAGTGTGGATTCTCTGATGTACAACAAGGTTTGCACTCTGGATGAAGGCCTTCCCACACTCATGGCACTCAAAGGGCTTCTCCCCAGTGTGGATTCGCTGATGCACGACAAGGTTTGCACTTTGACTAAAGCCTTTCCCACATACGCTACATGTAAAAGGCTTCTGCCCAGGCTGGATTTTCTGATTTTTCATACAGCCAGAACTAAGGCTGTATTTACCCCCAGATTTCTTACATTTTTGGTCTTTCTCTTCTTTGAAGTTTTCAGGTAAGTGACAATCCTCCACTGTCACTTGTCTGAAATCTTTCTTTTCCTTCTTTATTTTCTGCCTCTTTTCCATGTTTCCTGTTTCACATGATTCTCTTAATTCAGGTCCTTGAGTGTCAACTTTCTGGATTCTTCCTGACATTACAAGGGGTTTTTCAGTTTCATCACATATCTCAGATTTTGGAACAAATAACTGTAGATTCTTGGTTTCAGCATCTGAAATGAAAAAAGAAAAATACAAATGTTAGCTTAGTCTGGCCTAGATAAAAAAAATATCAAGTCAAAAAGGCCAGGAAGCATATGACTTCAGAACCTTTACAAATTTGCTTCATTAAAGGAAGGAATCCCTTCATGTTACTCCTCCGCTGTAGATTCTTCTGCAGGGACCATGTCCTGCCCCATACCTGAATGTGCTCACTCATGCTCTTTTTGGCTTTTCCACTTACCTCCATGAGATATTAACCCACTGCCTCATAACAGAGAAGCCCATGCACTCCAGACTCCTTTATACACCGGCATGAAGGTAATTTTGTATGGATCTCACACTAAGACTAGTTATGAAGGACACCAGCCTCTCCCTAAGCTTGCCTTTTACCTGAGCTACTGGTGTGGATTTGCTCCCAATTCACCATTTGATTAGACACAATCTCCCTCTGTGAACAAAGACCTACCAAGTTGAACCTTACCGTGTGAGGATGGTGAATATCATAGACAGAGTAAACATGGACAGAAAGGTCACGCTGGATGTCAAGAAGTCCAAAGAAGTCAATAGCATCTGAAACATGAAGAGGCTGTATAGCTCAGAGGTTAAAAACATGGACTCTGGAGCCAGACTGCCTGGTTTCAAATCCCTACTCTACTATTAACTAGCTATGACTTTGGGCTAGTTAACTTCTTTATGCCTCAGTGTCCTAATATCTAAAACAGGGATAATAATACTATCTACCTCAAAAGGCTATGAATGGATTAATGCAATTACTCTGTCAACTGCTCAGAACAGTGCATGGGACACATCAAGTATTCTGATGTCTGCAGTGACTTTCAGTCTGATGGATGGTGCTGTTAGGGACCAGGAGGAAAGATGAACCCTTAAGAGATGGGAGTTGCTATGATGACAAGCAGCTACAGTAGGAGGGATTAAAGAAGAATAGTAAACCTTTACTATGTTCCTTGTGTCAAGGAACAGCTTAGTATTTCATCAAGGAAAGCTGACATTCAGGTGGAGTTAACTGTTTAAAAATATATAATCTATAAAACTTGAAGCTTAACTGAACATGAATTAAGGAAAATGTATAAGTGTTCTCACTTTTATAAAAGTAATTTAAATGTGCAGATGAAAGTACAGTAAGTTATGTTTAAAGATGTGAAAAAAGGTTTTTAAGTGAATAAACTTTAATTCAACATTAATTAAAACTGAGACATTTAAAACCCAGTGATCACTTCCAAAATATTTTCATGTATATCATAGGTTGAACATTCCTTATCCAAAATGCTTATGACCCAAAGTGATTTGGTTTTTCAGATTTTAGATTAGAGACATGCACGTGTGTGCACACACACACACACACACACACAAAATGAGATCTTAGATGGGACCAACGTATAAACTTGGAATTCACTTATGGCTCATATACACCTTATACACATGGTATGAAGGTAATTTTGTACATTTTTTACCATACCTGTGTTCTGACTAGAACCAGTCATAGGAGGAAAATGTAAATTTTCTGCTTGTGGTGTCATGCTAGTACTCAAAAAGTTTTGGATTTTGGAGCATTTTGGAATTTTGGATCAGGGAAGCTCAACTTTATCATTGAGATGAAAATGTTCTTCTTCAATTGTGTGGGAACTAAAAAGGGATAAGACTGTGTCTTATTTAATTCTGTTTCCCCAGCCCTTATTTTACTGCCCATCACCCAGGAAGTAGGCCTTTAACAAACCCTGTACCTTATTCAGTCAATGTACCCTAGTTTGTAGAATAGGAAACACAGGTCCCAAGGGGACTTAATCAAGATCAGAATTACTAGAGGCAGGGCAACAACTACATTCAGGTCTCTTTCACAATTCCTAGAGCTTGGTGTTCCTGCTATTACCTGCAGCTCTGGAAATGGTCTGTAGCACAAAACGGTAAGTCTTGGGTGGGAATAGTCTTGGGGTAAAGAGGCAGAGAAGGAAAACTGGCTGTTCCTGATGAATGAGTGAAGCTCTTGGAGCCCACTATGAACAGATAATAAAGCAAGAAGACAGAAGAGACATATGGGGGAATACACCAGAAAGAATGGAACAGAAAGCAGGAAGTATGGATAATGCTGAGAGTGTAGGGAATAATTGAAGACAAGAAAAAGAAAGGTGGAGATTTTAACTGTTTCCACAGCCTTGGTTTAAGAAAACAACTTGGTCTGCAAATGCCTGAGGAATTGTCTAGGGAGGAGAATGGGTTTGAAATGTTCAGATATTGGTCTCTATCAGGCAGACACATAAAACATGAATACCTAGGGACCTGAAAGCCATCCAGGTGATTGCTTATGCAACTCAGGGCTCATGGCTACCACAGTTTTGACCCATAGTTACACATCACTCCTCCACAGGCTAGCTTCTGTCACAATCATGACATTTATTTGATAAATGAAGGCAATGTCTCATTGTTTTAATTAGTCTTTTCTTTTTACAATCAGCAAAGTTAAATGTTTTCATCTACTTCTTAGATATTTTTGGTTTTTTTTTTTATTTTGGAAGAATAATATCCATATGCATTATAACTATTTTTAATTAATTATTTTTCCTTTTGGGGAGGACAGGGTACTGGTACTGAACCCAGAGGCACTTTACCACTGACCTATAGCCTCAGGCCTTTTTCAATTTTTATTTTGAGATCGGTTTGCAATAAATTACCCAGAATGGCCTCAAACTTGCCATCTTCCTGAATCAGCTTACCAAATTGCTGGGATTAGAAGCATGTGCCATTGTGCCCAGCACAGCTATTTTTAAATAGGGCAGTTTTTTTCATTTATTTTTGGGGACGGAGGGGAGGGCACCAGGGATTGAACTCAGGGGCACTTAACCACTGAGCCACATCTACAGCCCTATTTTGTATTTTATTTAGAGACAGGGTCTCACTGAGTTGCTTAGTGCCTTGCTTTTGCTGAGAGTGGCTTTGAATTCGCAATCCTCCTGCTTCAGCCTCCCTAGATGCTGGGATTACAGGTGTGTACCACTGTGCCCAGCAGTTTTTTTTTTTTTTTTTTTCCATACTAATGGTTTATAATAGCTCTTCATATGTTAAAGGTATTTGTTTTTAGCGTGCGCGCACACACACACATACACACACACAAAGACATATAGAAAATACTACCCTTTGCTGAGTCCAGCTTGGAGAGAACCAGGTGATAAGCCATCAGTATCCTCCACAAAGACCTAGTTTTGACCATAATTATGGTTGACACAGCTGTTCAAAATCCTCCAGAATTTGCACAAAGATCTATGAAAACAGAACATCTCCAGGACATTTTCTCAAAATCAGCACAAAAGTTGACCTTTTCTACCTTTGCTAGCTTCTTCTGCAGGCTCACCAACCTATAATAACCATAAAAAATATGAAGAAAACAAGTGTCTATGCATATGCATAGATATGAAACTCACTGAGCAATAAATATAATTAAAAGGAGAATTCAAAATTTATGTCTGTCTGGTATCTTCAGATTGTGTGCAAATAAGACATTTCCTAAGATAACTGCACAGTCATCTCTCAGCTATCCTCTCCAGCTCTCCTTAGCACTTTCAACACCTCAATACTCTTGTTGTTCACACGAAGAAACCAGATACCCACCCACACTCTTGAAAAGATTCTAAACCCCAATGGTCAGAATCTGAATAAGGGAGTTAAACCTTACCCAGAGAGTTCAGGTTCTCATGAGTCTCCAGTATCTCCCTCTTGGCCAGAGTCCTTGGTAATGAGTAGCTGCCAAGTGGTGCAGCAGCAGGGGCCTCTTGTGTTGCTTTTAGGACTACTGCCATGTCCCAGAACATATTCGGATCCTATAGACAAGCAGGCATTTATGAAGGGATTGATGGTAGGAATACTGTGATTGTAGCTTTGAGGATGCATACACAATCATCTATTTCTGGAGGTCAAAAAACACTTTAAAAAAAAAAAAAACGGAAAAGGAAGCCAGAATCTTCCTCTTCCCCAAGGTGAGAGATAAAGAAACAAATCTGCTACTTTGATTTCATCCCATCACTCACTCCAGCAGCCAAACCTAACTTACCAATTAGTATGTGACAAGAGAGCACATGAGGCTGTTTTTCAAAGGAGACTTTTCTGGGTCCTAAAGATCAAAGAAGCAAGGTTCTAATCACAATCTTTTTTTTTTTCTTTTCTTTTTTTTGCAGTACTGGGGATGGAATCCAGGGCCTCATACATGCTAGGAAAGTGCTCCATCACTGAGCTATTTCCTCAGCCGGCCCCCTTTTTTTTGAAACAAGGTCTCACTGACTTACTCTAGCTGGCCTCAAACTTGCAATCCTACTGCATCAACCTCCTAAGAAACCAGAATTACAGGTGTACGCCACTGTGTCCAGCCTGATTGTGTTCTCATATAACTTTTCTGGGACCAGCCCTGCCCTGCTTTGCCTAGTGCTGGTAAGGGGTGTGTTTAAAAACATTAAGAACATAGTGTCATTTATAGCCTCATTACTGAAAATGTGGTCTATGGGAGCTTGTGAGAAATACAGAATCTCAGATCATACCCCAGGCCTCCTGAATCAGAATTAGCATTTTAGAAAGACCCCAAATGATTCCTATGCTTACTAAAGTTTGAGAAGCACTGAGAGCTTTCAAAATACAACTGGAATTACCTGAGGAGTGTTCTTAAATACACAGAAACTCAGATCTTATCCCCAGATTCTGATTTCCTTAGAATAGTCTACAACATGGCCAGAAAGATTTTATAAAAGTTCCCCATGTTCTTTATAGGAAAGTTTGAGAACTACATGGTTATAAAAAATACTGAATAATGCATCAATCAGAAGGGAACATCTCAATTATATTCCAAAGGACTTAAGGTCAGAGACCTAGCTAGGAAATAAGATGCTGGGTTTTAAAGCAGAGAAGCAGTTTTTCTGAAACTACTTGAGGTTTTCAGGTCTCTCCTTCTTTCCTCCCAGGTCATCATTTACCTTCTCCTCCTCTTCGGATATATCAAGGCCTGTCTGAGGCCCCTCATGTGGGGCCCAGACTTTGAAGTTCTCAGAATGTGCTTGTTGGCTGGATTCCTGATTTAGGAAATTGTCCTCCTCTTCCTCCTCCTTTTTCACCTTCACTGGGCCCCAAGGGTCTGGAATCATGGCCTCTCTCAGTTCCGTAGTCATCTTCTCTGCACAGCAGAACAACTCCTATAACTAGGGTTGCCCAGCAGAGGTCAAGCCCCATCTAATCTCTTAAGTTTCAAAAGCTTCTTCTTGATTTTATTCTCAGGGCCAAGATGAGTACTGTCAACTGAGAAATGAAAAACATTGTTAGCAATGAGCACAGATTTGTCAGGATGCCACTCAGTCTCCAAGCCAATTTCACCAATGACTGGCCAGTGATCACTATAGTGCAAAGAATATTCTACTTCTATAGATGGAAAGAGTTAAAATATAAATATGTTGGGGCTCGGGATGTGGCTCAAGTGGTGGCACATTGGCCTGGCATGCATGAGGCACTGGGTTCGATCCTCAGCACCACATAAAAATAAAATAAAGATATTGTGTCCACCTAAAACTAAAAAATAAACATTTTTAAAAAAAATATATATATATGTAAATGCAAATTGCTGAATACATCAATCATTGATTTTTTTTAAACTAAAGGTTAACTTTTTAATTATAAAAACTTTTAAACTATAGAATGATTAGGAAAACTCACCCGACTACCTCCAAAGGAATAATCACCATGTGTTGTAAACTGAAATTTTTTTTAAGGGAAAATCTTCAAACATACTAACAATAATTATGACTTTATAAACATTTTGTTTTTGACAGGTATGTTCACAATTATTATCAGTGGTCTTAAAAATAGGAATATTATAACACAAATGTTTCTATATTGTCAAGGATAAAAAAATTAGCATGAGAAAGAAGTGCCAAGCAAAAGACTGGAAGTGTATAGACATCATGTTAGGAATAAGTGGGTGGATAGCTCCAGGTGGTGGAATTACAAATTGTTTCAAGGTTCTTTTTGTTTTTTTACATTTTCCAAATGTCAGTAAGACCAAGTATTAGTCTTAAGATTTAAAAAAAGAAATCATTTTCCATTGTCATTGTTCATGCTTATTTTGATTTGCTACACAATATCCTACAGTATTAAGATTGGGGACTTAGTTCAGTGGCCAGAGCACTTGCCTAGCACACACAAGGGGTGGGGTTGAATCCCCTGCACTTCGGGACAAAAAGTGAGCAACAACTCCCCCCCCCCCCCAAAAAAAAAAGACAAGGCAAAAATAATCTATGGTATTGACAAATTTTCACTCTCATTGAAAAGGACCTATTCACAAACATAAAACATTAAATGTATTTCTTTTTTTTTTTTTTTTATACTGGGGATTAAACCCACAGGGGCTTAATCACTGAACTCCCTATCCTCCAGCCCTTTTTTATATTTTATTTAGAGACAGGGTCTCCCTGAGTTCTTAGGGCCCCCATCTTTTTTTTTTTTTAATTCTTTTAGTTGTAGATAGACACAATATCTTTATTTATTTATTTTTCTGTGGTGCTGAGGATCAAATCCAGTACCTCACCCATATGACGCAAGTGCTCCATCACTGAGCCACAACCCCAGCCCTAAATATATTCCTTATACATACATACACACAGAAATTAGTCATTAGTTGAATGGACATCCTAGTCCTTTTTCTGTTATTTACATTCATATGTGCATTCACTGCTTATTTTTCTAAATCATACTTTAAAACTCACTGTACACTGTTCAGCAAGTTGCACTATTTGTCTTTTGAACTAATCTCCTTATTTCACAAGTATTGGTGATCCTTCAATACATAGTACATACATGCCTCATTCTGGCAGAATATTCTGAATCAGTGCTATACTATAATTTATCCCATTAATGAACCATTCCTTTAGTAAAAGGAGTCTTAACTGTTTTCAGTGTATTCTCTTACTAAAACGTTCGAAATGTTTACGGCAAAGTTTTTTCTTCTGCTCCATTATTCCTTTAGAATAAAGAGAGGGATCACTATCTTGAGGACTGTGTAGTTGGAACATTTTTTCAATGCTTTCCAGAAGCACCACATCAACTCAAGTCACACCGAGACTAATTAGCAGGACCCCTTGACCACAGATGAGCCAGCAGGGTTTTTGTTTCTGCGAGTCAAATAACGAACTATTTTAGATAAATATGAGAATGATATTTTTCTATTTCTCTTTGGAAGTTTTACTAAAAAAAAAAATTGCTGAATTTTACTAAATCCCCTTTTGCAGCTGAAATGATCACATTCGTTTTTCTGTTAATTACTGGCAATTTTTTGCACAATTGAATTCCTAGAGTAATGAAATATACTTACATTCCTACGACAATTCTTAATTGTGAAGCTTAAGGTATCCATGACTAGTAGATTTGGAGGTTTCCATGACTAGCTTAATTCTACCTCATAATTTTCCCCAAAACATTCAAGGACAGCTTTGAAAACCCGTTCCATCTTTTGTAGACAGAATTGTCTACTTCGCTTACTGTCATCAGACTTCTGGTAAGATTCAAATGGATCCCCCAACCCCAGGCGACAGAGAGCCCTCTATCAAAGGCTTCCTTTTTAATGTCCTTTTTCCAATTCCAAACGTGACAATCCGTTCCCTTCACCTGTATGCCCTGGCTCCGGGTCTCCGGGATCCTCCTGGCCCCTGGGCGGTGCGCCTCGGTCCTCTGCCTGCCCAGGCGCCCGTCAGATGGCCACCCGGACGGCGAAGCGAAGGGGCGCGGAGCCGCTCTGGGACTGCCGGGGCTAAGTCCCGAGGCAAAGACTCCTGGGCCGCTTCGGGACCGCCGTTCCGGGCACCGCCCTGCTCCCCGTGGTCCCTGGCCACCCCGTAAATCCGCTCACCGTACGCAGTGAAGAGGCCTGGTCCGGCGAACCGACTCACAGTAAGAAGCTGGCACTGCAGGACCCCTGCCCTTACTGGCGCTAGAACAATGACCGGACAGGAAGTGCCTCGGGATGGGCTTCCGGCTCCCAGATCGCCAGGCCGGCCTCTCTAGGAATCTCGGAGGAGCCTTCTTCTCGATGGGCGTCCAACTCAGTCCTGGACCAGGGAAAGGGCGCTCTAAAGCCCTTTGTTTTGGGACGAAACGATGGGACCTTCCCAGGATGGGCAAGTGGCTCGTGCAAGGATGGCACCCGGGAGTCTGATGCTTAAAGATTAATCTAGAAATACCGGATAATTTTCCCCAAAACATTTTATTTTGAAAATATCAAACGGTACAGAAAAGTTGAGAATGATATAAAGAATACCCGTATCCTCCATCTGGGCTCAACAATTAACATTATGCTATGTTTGCCTTATCTCTATTTAAGGTTATCTTTTCAGAAAGCTGTAAACATCAAAGCGCTTCATTCCAAATAGCATGCATCCCTTAAGAATATTCCCCAAACTAACACCACCATCACCACACGTAAGAAAACAGTAATATTCTAAAACCACTTAATATACAGTCAGGATTCAAATTTCTCCTAATGTACTGAAACACATTTCAAAGGTTTTTTTTTTTTCTTTTTTTTTTTTCCAATTCAGTTTCACAACACTGTATTTTAGTTATGGCTCTTTTGTGTATTCATATTTTATGTTAAAATGACAATTCCACAGGAAGTTGCAAAGAGTTCCCCCCAATGGTTACATCTTATGTAACTAGAATGTCAAAATCGGCAAGCATATATTGGTAGTGTGTGCCTATGTGTTTGTCATTGTATTGCATGAGATTTGTGTAATTGCCACTATTACACAACTATTCCATCACCAACCTCCCTGGTGCTACCCTTTTTATAGTTACATCCCAATCCTCTCCCTCACACCATCCCTAATATATGGGATTCCCTAGAAATCCATTCTAGTTGTGACAAGCTGTAGGTAATCTGTCTTATTGCCAAGTACTAAGTACTCCATGGTATAGACATACCATAGTTTATTTTAACCACCTGATACCTAAAGGTTTTGAATATTAATACAGATTGTATGAACATTATGTACAAGTCTTTGTGAACATAAGCTTTTATTTCCTGGGACAAATGCTAGGGAATGGAATTACTGAGGCATATAGTTAAGTGCATGTTTGGTTTTATAAGAAACTGCCAAACTGTTTTCCAAAGTGATTGTGCCATTTTGCATTTCCAGCAATGCATGAAATCCAGTTTCTCAGCATCCTTGTCAGAACTGGTGTAATCACTTTATTTTAAAAAGTTAGCTAATTCTGATAGGTGCATAGAAGTATCTCAAGATTTTAATTTACATTTCCCTAATGGATAATGTCGAATATCTTTTCATTTACTTATCTGCCATCTACAGTGAAATGTCTGTTGGTATCTTGTGCATTTCTAATTTTTTTTTATCAATAAGTTTTCAGAGTTCTTTATGTAGTCTAGATACAAATCCTTTGATGGATATGTGATTTGCAAATGGTTCTCTCCAAGTCTGTAGTGTCTTTTCATCCTCTTAAAAGTATCTTTGTAGAGAAAAGTTATCTTAATTTTGATGAGGTCCGATTGATCATTTTCCCCTTTAACAAAACATGCTTTTGATGACATCTGCAAGTTCTTTCCTTAATCCTAGTCCTCAAAGTTGTGAGGGGTTTTCCCTTTATGGACAGCTTCATTAATGATCACTCTTCTTTCCTTTATATCATGACTTTTTGAAGAATCCAGGGCAATTTTCTAATATCCCATGTTCTGAAATTTTCTGTTTCTTATGGCATCTTTTATATCATCCCTATGCTTTCTGTATTTCCTACAAACTGCCAATTAGGTTTAAGAAACTTGAGTAAAATCAGGCTAAAGATCTTTTGGCTTATTACACTACAAGAGGAGGCACATCATATGGGCTCAGTTTGCTATATTGTATTTTTACTTGGTTACAAGGTAAATGCTAGCTCTCTCCTTTGTTAAAATATGTCCTTTTGCAATTATTATATAAGCTATGGTGATTCTTCTATAGCATTAATAGGAAGAATTTTCATACTCATTACCTCATAACAACTTTGTGAGGTAGACATTTTTCCTCCTGTTTGACAGATGAGGAAATCATGTCTCCAAGAAGTGATTTGTCCAAGGCAAGTGGCAGAACCTGACTCATCCAGATCTTAAAGAGTTCAAATTATGGGTGCCCTTCCAGTTTTCAGTATACATTTCAGTATAATGAGGAACCAGCCCTCAAAGGAGCTTTGGGGTTGAATTAATAACATGTCATAATCAACATACCACTTTGATATTGCTTGTATTAGAAAACACCATCCTGATATACATTTACATTCTACCTGCAAAACTGGAATTTGGAGAATTAGAAGATAAAATATAGGAATACAGAATGAATTAACCCAAATAAATGTACAATAGGGCACGAGCTGAATGAACAACTGGTTCACAGGGAGTAAAGGGCAGTGGCTGCCTAGAAGTGGATTCTGCATTGGCTTAATCAGAACTTGAAGGCTTGGCTGTGTAAAAATTTAGATAGTAAATTAAGTGCTGGGACAGAAAGTCTTTTTGTAAGTGACAATCTATCACATGACAGCAATAATTAAATATTGACTACAATGGAAAATGGCTGTGGCAAGGATCATCAGCTCAGCTAATGGGGTTATGTATTTCTCCCAATAAAAAGAAAAAGCAACATAGGACTGTCCTTCAATTTTGATGTTCTATTAAGTTCCATATTCAAAGATCAAAAAACAAATAGCTTTCCTCGGCATCACTGTTAATGGCTGGCCATAATATATTTTCCATAAAAACAAAGTAGACATTTTAAAATTGTATTTTTCAAAAGTCTTTAGAGTACTAAATCCCAAAGTTAGCTATCCGTCATACTTCCCCTCATAAAAATGACTATCTTTGAGGTTCATGGAATCCTCTTCATTCTAATATTGACTTAATGAACAAACTTAGATTATGCCATGTCCTAGACTCTGGCCATACCTCTCTCTCTCTCATCTAACTTTATTGTAAAATGGTTTCACAAACATCCTTTCACTTACTCCTCACAACAACCCTGTGAGGTAGGCATTCTGATGCTTAGAGGTGGGCTTAACATTAACATAGTAAGGGAAAGAGAATCCAAACCTAGCTCTTCTAATTTTACATCTAGTCTTAAGGATGAGCCAGGTATCTCTTGCCCACTGAATTCCACATCTCAGTGTCTGGATTTTACTGTCTATACAGACATTCTGCAGCAGAGATGCTATCTTTAAACTGTATAATATACATATTTTCAGAAACAATGTGCACTTTAATAAAGACACTTTTGCTAACACTTACAACTGCACCATTATCTCTTATAAGACCCAAATCCAGTTTCTTCTGTCTTCAATTGCTCCAAGATCTATTTCCAAGGTCATAATAAATGATCTGGAATACAGTATCCTTGAACTAGAATTTGGATTATGTTTTTCTACACTTGAAGGTCTAGATTAACTTTCTTTCACTTGTCCATAAGAAATGGTCATGATTTTTTTCTTATAGAAACTATGTATCATTCATCTAAGGGTTAAATAGGATTCTATTCCATTTTACGAATGACACTAATTTTTTTTTTCTTTTTTGCAGTGCTGGGGGTTGTACATGCAAGGCAGTACTCTACCACTTAGCCACAATGCCAGATCTCCACTATATTTTTTGAATCTCTATCTTAGACTCACTGGCATTTTTTAGCCAAGAGAATTCCTCCACAGTATGGACTTTTTGTTGAAAATGAAGTTTTGAAGTCTGAGAAAATTCCTTTTCAGCCTCACCACATTCACAGGGTTTTTCCTCTGTATGAACTTTCTGATGTACAGTGAGGTTTTTTCTTTGTCTAAAAACTTTGCTACAATCATTACACCCATAGGGTTTCTCCCCTGTGTGGATTCTCTGGTGACCAACTAAATTCCTCTTGGAGGTAAAAGATTTCCTACATTTCTCACACTCATAAGGCTTCTCTCCAGTATGCATTCTCTGATGTACAACAAGGTTTTTATTCTGACTAAAGTCTTTTCCACACTCATTACATTTATAAGGTTTCTCTCCAGTGTGTATTCTTTGATGTACCATAAGATTTCTACTAGAGGTAAGAACTTTTCTACAGATATGACATTCATATGTTTTTTCCCCACTGTGAATTCTTTGATGTTCAATAAGATTTCTGTTGTAGGTGAAGCCTTTCCCACACTCATTACATGCATAGGGCTTCTCACCAGTGTGGATTCTCTGATGGGCTATCAGGTTTGAGCGGTAACTAAAGACTTTCCCACAGTCATTGCATTTATAAGACTTTTCCCTTGTGTGAATCCTCTGATGTCCAATGAGGCTTTTTTTCAAGATGAAGCACTTGCCACACTCATTACACTCATAGGGTTTTTCACCACTGTGGATTCTCTTATGTTCAATGAGGTTTCTGTTGGAACTGAAAGCTCTTCCACACTCACTACATTCAAAAGGCTTTTCTCCAGTGTGGATTCTTCGATGTACGAGCAGGCTTGAATTGTAACTGAAAGCCTTCCCACAATCCTCACATTTGTAGGCTTTCTCCTGTGTATGAAGTTTCTGGTGGACCATGAAACTCTTGCTCATAATAAAGGTTTTCCCACACTCTCGACATTCATATGGCTTCTCCCCATTGTGGAGTCTCTCATGGTCAATGAGATTCCTGTTAGAACCAAAGACCTTACCACAGTCTTTACATTCATAGAGATTCTCTCCAGTGTGGAACCTTTGATGTAATATGAGGCTCTTCTTCAGAATAAAAACTTTTCCACATTCATTACATTCATAGGGCTTCTCTCCATTGTGGAGTCTCTGATGATCAAAAAGGTAAGCACTCTGAGTGAAGGCTTTCCCACATTCAGTGCATTTGTAAGGTTTCTCTCTGCTGTGCATCCGCTTGTGGTCAATGAGGTTTGACTTAGAACTAAAAATTTTCCCACACTTTTTACAACCAAAGGTTTTCTTTTCTGTGTGGACTCGCTGATGTAAAAGGAGGCTTTTACTTCGAATGAAAACTTTCCCACATTCTTTACACTTGTAAGGGTTCTCTGCACTGTGGAGTCGCTGATGGTCGACAAGGTAGGTGGTCTGAGCAAAGGTTTTTCCACATTCATCACATTTATAGGGTTTTTCCCCAGAGTGAATTCTCTGGTGCAGAATGAGGCTCTTCTTCAGAATGAAAGCTTTCTGGCATTTATTACATTTATAAGGTTCTTCTCCTTTATGGAGCCTCTGGTGGTCAATGAGGTAAGCGTTTTGAGAGAAAACTTTCCCACACTCATTACATTTGTAAGGTCTCTCCCCTGAATGGCGTCTTAGATGTATAATGAGGCCTGAATGCCTATAGAAGCCCTTTCCACATTCCTTACATTTATAAGGTTTCTCCCCAGTGTGGATCCTCTGATGGTTTAAAAGGTAAGCACTTTGAGAGAATGCTTTCCCACATTCATTACATTTATATGGTTTCTCCCCAGAATGGTTTCGAAGGTGCATTAGAAGGCTTGAGCGCTGAATAAAGCCCTTTCCACACTCCTTACATTTATGAGGTTTCTCACCAGTATGGATTCTCCGATGGTTTATGAGATGTGAAATTTTATTTAAATGTTTACAACATATGTCACACTTATAGTACTTCTTTCCCTCAGTACCTATTAAACTTTCAGAAACAGCTGAACCTAAAGTCAAGCTTTCTCCAAATTCCTTCCACTTCTGGCCCCGTTTTTCTGGTAAAGTCCTTTTCTTCTTGTCTTGTTCACACAGGGAACCTTTTTTCATTGCATCTACCCTTTCTCCTGTTTCATTTCCCCACTGACTTTCCAAAACTTGCCATTCACATTCTTCCTCAAAACCAGGGACCTGGGAAACACTGCCTTGAAGTCTTTTTGATATTCCTTTCTGAGCATCTGCTCTTTGAGAAATATTTGGCTTTGATGTCACCTCCTCATTTTCAGTCATGGTCTCCCATTCTGGTAAAAGAAATTAAAACACAAATGTTAAGGTTCCTAAATTTGTGAGAATAGGATCTTCAAGTTTCTTAAAACCATGTTTCTAGTGATAGAGTGAGTGTCTAGAAAGTGTGAGACCCTGGCCTTGATTCCCAATACTGGAGCGAAGAAAGTATCCATCTAGGAGTTAGGGGTGTAGCTCTGTGGTAGGCATGTCACCCATGGGGTTGAGCTACACTCACCTATTCTTTTGTAATACTACCCCTTTGCCCTGTTTAGGATAGAATGTTCCATGGAAGCTCCCTTTGTGTGTCCCCTTCTCTTGCTCTGCCTTTGGGTGTGGCCTTTCTAGATGTTCAATCAGCTTGCTGACAGCAGACATCAAGATGCTAGACTCAACCCCCTGAAACCTGACCCATTGCCTCATTTGAATGGCTTCTCCCCTTGGAGCCATCATAGGACCCAAAGAAAAAGGTATCTCTGTCTCTTGTGTGATTATTTCATGCAGCCTAGTTCACTTGGAGTGACCTTGACTGTTTTAGTTGTTAGAAATGCAACACCTCTGAGTTCAATCTCCGGTACCACCACCCAAAAAAGAATGTTTTCAGGGCTGGAGTTGTAGCTCAGCGATAGCACACTTGTCTAGCATATGTGAGGTACTGGGTTTGATCCTCAGCACCACATAAAGATAAATAAATAAAGATATTGTGCCCATCTAAAACTCAAAAATATTTTTTTAAAAAAAAAATGTTTTCATAAGTGTAAAAGTACACAGTATAAGTTACTATGGACAATAAAATAATAAGGCTGCTAGATACAAAATTAATATACAAAACATCAGTACTTTCTATATGCAAATGAAGTCAATTAGAAAATTAGAGAAGACTAATTCTAAAGAATAAATATCACTAGAAGTATATAATATCTAGACAAATGTGATTTTAAAATATGCCTGAAACACAGAGAAAAATGCAGTACAGAAAAAATGAAAGGGTATGTAAGGTTCCTGAATGGAAATACTCAGAATAAAACCGTCAATGTAAAGCATGATCACAGATAATGAAATATTATGCAGCCATTTAAACTAGTACTACAGATAATGTATATTCCAGTCAAAATTCAATTATGTGGCTGATTCTCAGTTCTCAATGTCTACTTCTCTGTACAGTCCTACTTTTCCAGTAACACCTCAAATGCCACCTCCTTTATGGCCTTTCCTGGTCTCCAGGAATGAGTTTGGTTGCTCTATCTTCTGTATTTCCACATATCAGATTTATGTCACTATTGCACCAATTATTTTATTCTGCCTTGTATTGTTTATTCTTTCTATAATCATCTCCCAAACCATGATAAATTATTTGTGGGCAGAATCATATCATTTTCACAGGAACACCACAAGATACATGTTTTTAAAGTTTGTTGGAAGCACAAATGGCTGAATTTTTTTTCTTTCAAGTCAGGATTTCTCTGTTACCTAGGCTGATCTCAAACGATCCTCTTGGCTCTGTCTCCCAAGTAGTTAGCACTATAGATATGTATCACTGCACCCAGCAAAAAAGTTTTTAAATATTTTTATTTTATTACTAATTAAAGAAATCTACTTTATATTTTTTAACCTTAAAAAAATAGCAACAGTTTAAAACAATTGGATTACTAAGTACAAATGAGAGCAGAATAAAAGGAGTATTTGTAAGAACTGTGGAGAAGAGTAGAGAGGGTATGGGTCACTATGGAAAGCAATTTGGTAGTATGAAGCAAAAGCCTTAAAGCAAACCAATCACATAGGCCCAACAGTTGTACTTATAAAAAAAATAAGGAGGAATAAAGAAAGGTTTTAGCCACAGAGAAGAGGATTATGACAGCAATTATCCAAAATATGAAAAAAAATAAGAAAATGGCTAAATTTAAATTATGGTACAAATTATGTAGCCAATATAGTGACTGCAAAGAAAGAAAGCTATAAATGTATGTACGTGTGTGTGTGTATGTGTGTGTATTTTTTTTCAATATACACTGAACAACATATTTAAAAACCCTCTAAACACATAGGAAAAAACACATGGGATATATCAAAATGTTGACAGCAGTTGTCTGCAAATAATGAGGTTGAAGTGAATATTCTTTCTAATAGTCTGTTTTCTTTTTGTTTTTTTTTACAGGGGTACCAGAGATTGAACTTAGGGCACTTGGCCACTGAGTCACATCCCCAGCCCTATTTTATATTTTATTGAGAGACAAGGTCTCACTGAGTAGTTTAGTGTCTCGCTTTTGCTGATCCTGCTGTCTCAGCTTCCCCAGCTGCTGAACTTGTGATCCTGCTGTCTCAGCTTCCCCAGCTGCTGGACTAATAGTCTGTTTTCTTAAATAAGCATTAACTACTTTTATAATCAAAACAGATAAGATAAAGGTAAGAATTATGGGAAGATGTCCTTACCTAGAGAGGTCACATTTCCATAATTCTCCAGCATAACATCCCAGTACAAGGCTCTCTGAATTGGGCCCAGACATGCCCATTCCTCTGAAGTGAAGCATACAGACACCTCCTCAAACATTACCAACTCCTGAAATAACAGGTTTGTGTTATGGGTATGAGTAGATTCCAATGTTTAGGAGCTCCCCTATCAAAAGGTTCCTTTCACTTCTGGGGAAGAAATACATTGTCAGGTCATGAGGAGAGCCATGGATATCAGGGAGACATAAAGCGACCCCTCAAGGTCGGTTTTCCAAAAGCATGGACCTTGATTTGGATATGGGAAATGATGGGACACTCCAGCACCAGGATGAGAGAGGACCCTTCAGCAACAATTAACGCAGTTCAGACAAGAAGGAAAGAGGATGCAAACCTTACCTGGGGCTGGGCAGTTAGGAGCATAAGTGCCATTAATTGATTTCTTGGGTTCTCTTCCTGGGATAGGGCAGAAGCCTCAGGGGCAGGAGAATCTGAGAAAGAACAAACTGCATGTAAGAATATTGCTGTTTTGGCTTACTACCCCGTCTACTATCTTCTACAAATTAGGAATTCAGAATGATCCAGAGGGGTAGGGATACAGCCCAGTGGTAAAGTGCTTGCCTGGCATGCATGAGGCCCTGGGTTCAATCCCCAGCACCACAAAAGAAACAAATAAAAAAAATAAAATAAATAAATAAAAACCAGAATGATCTAGAACTCCAAGTCTAAGCAATGATGTCTACAAAATGACCTACAACCCTTTTCTGAGTGACTCTCATGTCCAGGGCTGGAAAAACAGAATTATAGCAATAAGAATGGATACAAGTCAGAAGAACCTAGGAAGGGACAAGAGAGAGAACCATCAGAACAGCAGAAAGAGACTGTCACTATAAGGAATTCCCTTACAGGGTAGGAATTCTGTTTAGGAAACACTTAAAAATATTCTCCTCTTTACAGTGTTCAACCAAACTCAGCATTAGCATCATCCAGAGAGACATTCTGGAAGTAGGGAGATGAGCCACACAAAGGGTTCTAGAAAAATGAGTACCATGTGGAGGATCCTGGAGGTTGAACACCACTCTGTCAGAAAGAGGATTCAGATGAATTTCAGCTGATAAGTGGCTGCTGGGAGATGCAGGAACAAATGCTGTTCCTGGAGCACTCAAACCCTCCTGGAGAATGTCCTGGTCCTGGACAAGGAATGGACCCTGAAAAAAGCAAAATAAAATAAGCCGGCTCTTCTTGTATCTCTAGAAAAGGGACTCACCTAACCATTATGGACCTCTTTCTGCCCTCAATCTAGAACTGTGAGATCACAAAGACCCACCTCAAATATGGAGCATCAAACCAGCAGTAAAGCTTTGCATTGAGAACAATGGAGCTGCCCTCTAGCCCCCTCACGGCACTGGTGACCTCTCCCACAGGAGACTGTACAGAACGGTGGCAACAGAAGCCAGACCTGGGTGTGGGTTAAGGAGGGAATGGAAGTAACAAGCAGTAATTAAGAGCATGGATTTAGCTTCAGACCTAATTTTTTATCAGAATTGGATTCAATCACATCTCTTCTATTTATTTACCCCTTTACTTATCCCTTCCTGCTCCAACACAAGTAACATTGGAGTAGGCAGCTAGATACTTAGCTTTGCTGCTAGCTCAATGTCTGACCTAAGGCAATCCACAGAATCTTTTTCTGTTTCACTTTTCTTGTCTCTCAAATGAAAAAGGATGGGTTAATAATTTGTAAAGATATAAGCTCTAAACTTCTTCATTTTTATGATTAAAACAAATAAGCCTATCCTTGTGGCCAATGCCAAGTTTGAGTTATGGTTCAGACTTCTTCACAAAAATATTTTTAGTGGGCTACAGATTTATAGAAAAAAAAACTTATACACACGAGAGGCTATCTTAAAAGTCCCAATCTAAAGGTCAAGAATGTAAAATCTTATCAGAAACAAATATCTCAACCCAACCCCTTGTCTTGCAGAATTCCCAGTAAGGGGGACACAAGGGGAGGTTTGGTTAGATCTGGAAAGCTTCGTTCTGCCTATGCCTTTTATGCTCCAAGCTTTTACACCATTTCAATCAGAATTACAGAAATAGCACACATGCTCATATACTTCTGTTTAGGGGAATACTTATAACTATCATCTTCTTCAAGGTGTTCAACTAGACTCAGCATGAGCAGGTTTCATCTAGGGTGGCAAAGTGGAAACAATGCTTTTGTTTTGATTGAATTGGGCCCAAAAACCTCAATCATAAATCCACTTCTCTGCAAATATGTTCTGTAATCTGAATAGCATATGAACCTGCTTTTATTTGCATTAAGTTGCTAATTATTAATGAAAATTACAGGGTCACCCACCAGCCCCACCTCAATTCTTTTCTTCCCTCCATTCACTCCCTACTCCCAGCCTTTCTCACTTTTAGTGCTGGTCCATCAAGGTCTTTCTGCAGCTCCTCTACCAGGGCCACAGCCTCCTCGCCACTGCCAGGACGATGGAGCTGCACCCAGGTCCGAATCTCCCCAGGCAGGATGCTCAGAAACTGCTCCAGCACCAGCAGCTCTAGGATCTGAGCCTTGGTGCGTGCTTCTGGCCTCAGCCATCGGCGACAGAGCTCTCGGAGCCGGCTCAGAGCCTCCTGGGGTCCAGATGTCTCATGGTAACGTAACTGTCTAAAGTGCATGTGAGAGGTCTCCCAAACAGAGGAGCTGCTCCCTTGGAAGCTGGTTCCCCATTTCCAGGTATCATCCTTCCCTTTCACAAGACCCTCTTGTCTCAGAGCATTGTGGGCCCAATTTTCTCTCGTCATTGTTGCCTTTTTAGAAAGGTTCCTCTCCACGTCCCCTTAATTCTTGCTTGATTTCTTCCTTAGAGCTTGGAGAACATCATCTATAAGACCTCAAAAAATCATTGTTAAAGTTAGCCCGCAGAAACAACCAAGTTTTCCAGACCCCGTCAATTCCCAGTAATAAACAGAATCCTGTAAGCAAGTGTCTAGGCTCCAGAGAGTGCTTCTTCTAATAGAAACCCTCTGCCTAAGGCCAGAGGACACAATACTCCTGAAACCAAACACATGGAATTCCTTTGGTTTTTATTCATAAGAGCTCTTCCATTTAATTACAATAAACTATTTACCATTTTAGATTTTTAGATATTTCTGTAATATCTTTTTAGATACTTCTGTAATCTGATATGGGCTTTTTAGATATTTCTGTAATCTGAACACATTACCTTACTCCTAAACCTTAGTTTCTTTTAAAAAATTTAAAAATATTTTTTAGTAGTAGATGAACACAATACCTTTATTTGTCTTTATTCAGTGCTGAGGATGGAACCCAGTGCCTCACATGTGCTAGGCAAGTGCTCTACCACTGAGCTACAACCCCAGCCCAAGCCTTAGTTTCTTGACTTGTAACACAGGGATAATAGCCGTTCTTACTTTACAGCAGGGTTGTTGTGAGAATATGATGTCTAAATACATTTGAAGTTGTTTTTTGGTGCATAATTGGACAGAATAGTAGGTTTCACTGTGGCATACTCATACATGCAGATAACATAATTTGATCAATTTCATTCCCTAATATTACGCTCTTTCTCACGAGCTCTCTCTCTCTCTCCACTTCCTTCCCTCCCTTTCTCCCTCCCTCCCTGTCTCTCTCTCTGGTGATACTGGAGACAGAAGCCAGAGAAACACTTTATCACTGAGACATACCCAGCCCTCATTTCAAGTTTTGAATAATACCTGATACATAGATTCAAATGTTAGCTATCTTTCTATAATGAGCACTCCTTCCTATGTTATACAGTCAACAAGTAATCATGATTTTAACTCTTATAATGGAAAAAAAAATATAAAATTCAATTAACAAAAAAGGCTGAATTGATTTCTGTGTAGTTTGCTGTATGTACTAACTAATTAATTATCTGATAATCATTTATTCTGTTAAAATATTTGGATAACTTTGAATAAAGTTTCATTATATAGAACTTAGGCTTACTGCTCTCTAGAAGTCACCTGATCTTTAAAACTATTATTTATTTTTCTGATTATAAAACAGAAAGTTTGTAAAACTGGGAAACATGCAAAAAAAGAAACCCGAAAATAATAATTGCTATTGTTCTGGAGTATATCCTTTTTCAATGCACCAATTTGTATCACAAGACTGGATCTGACTATATTACTCTATAACTTGCTTTTCTTGCACAGTATGTTGTGAAAAAGACATTAAGTATTGCTGGTTGCTTTGAGAGCTGTATGAGCACAATCATATTTAAGTAGTTCCCTGATCACTAGATATTTAAGATTATTTGTAATTCTCCCCTATTACAAATAAAGCTACAAAGAGTATCCTTGCTGATGAATTTTGGGTTTCATAGCTGATTATTTCTTCAGGAAAAATTTCTAGATACAAATGTTTTTAATCTTTTAAGGTGATAACAGTTCACCATCAGTGACATATGAATCATTTTCATTGATTTCATTTAACAGAGACATTTAAAAATAACTAAACAAGGGAGGCAGAAATATAAACACAATTTTAATTAAATATGTAAATACAACTAATAGAATAAAGACAGAAAGTATTTGTGAAAGGTAATTTTAGATTGGACTTTAATGAAAAAAAAAATCAGGGAAGCCATTCCAGGAAGAAAGATACTGCATTTTCAAAATCAAGGAGTAACAGCACATATCCCTCTATTAAAAATGGGTTTTCCAGAGCTGAGCATTGTACCACATGCCTGTAATCCCAGCTACTGGGGAAGCTGGTGCAGGAGGATTGCCTAGTTCAAGGCCAACCTGGCAAATGTGTCAAAATAAAAATTTTTAAAGGGCTTAGGAATAGCTTAGTGGTAGAGCACTTGCCTAGCATGTGTGAGGCCATGGATTCAATCATTAGTACCAGCAAAAAAAAAAAAAAAGGAAGAAATGGACTTTGCAGTGCTTACCTAGCATATATTTGATGAAGCTCTGGATTTGATCCCCAGAACCACACACAAACACACAAAAAAGAGAGAGGTGGGAAAAAAAAAAAGAAAGAAGAGGAAAAAAGATAGAAAAAAATTTTAGAAAGAAAGAAATGGGCTTTGCAAACCAGAAGAGTAAAGTAAACTTCAGAGGCAAGATTACAGATATAGACTGGGGTTGAGCTCAGCTGTAGAGCACTCGCCTAGCATATGCGAGGCCCTGGGTTCGATCCTCAGCACCACATAAAAAAAATAAAATAAAGGTATTGTGTCCAACTACAACTAAAAAATAAACTTAAAAAAAAAGATTACAGGTATAGAGCAGGAAAAAAAGATTACAGGTATTGAGAGGCAGAGTAAGGAGAGATCATGTCCTATGAGCAATGGGCAACTATTAGAATTTATCCCACATTTTCCCCTTTTATTCTTAAAAACATAACAAATTTACTTGGTTAAACATTTACTTGGTTTAAAATTACAAAACACATGCTGTGTTATTTCCCTCTCCCTGTTAGTTTTTTATGTAGTTTTTCTAGTTATTTGTATATACACATAAGGTTTTGTATTTCCCTGTTTTCACAATGGTAGAATACCATGAATAATGTGCTGTTTTCCTTTTCTCAATTTTCCTGTCCATACATATTCCCTCCCCCTTGTTTTTGTAGATGCACTATAATTTATTTATCCACTTATGGGACATTTAGGCAGTTTTTAATTTTTTCCTAATACCAATAATATTATCATTAATAACCCTGGGCATACATGAATTTGCACGTGTGAAGGCACACATAGAAAAATTACATGAAGCAGGATTACTGTGTCCAAAGTTGTGTGCATTTTAAATTCTGATCTTATCATTAGGCCTCATAAGGATTGTACCAAATCACAATTTACAATTCACAGCATGAACTGTGAGGGAATGCCTGCTTCCTCACTCTCTCACCAATGTGACTGTCAAAGATTGGGATCTCTGCCAAATTTTTAACTGGCACCTTGAGTGAAGAGTCATTTTGTTAACTATTCACATATTTTGCCCATGATTCTATTGAGTGCTGGACCTTGTTAATTTGTGTACTCTTTGTATCATAGGAAAATCATTTATTTGCTTACTATGGGAATTGCAAATTGTGTCTTTGCAACTTTGTCACAGATCATGTGACTTTACTTATCATGTTTTTGCCATGCAACTAATCTTTTCTTTTTATTGCTTCTGGGTTTTATGCCATGGTTACACAGACTTTTCCCACTCTGGGCCCTGAAGGGAGTCTTATATGGAGTCAGGAATTGATAAGGGAGGAATGATGGGGGAGGGAGGTTCATATATCAGGAAGGCCAATTAGGTTTTTGCAACAGTCTAAACAAATGATTAAATTCTAAAAGCAACAGCAGCAGGGATAAAACAATTGAGAAAACTTAGCAGTGTTTGGTGATCAATCTAAGAGTGATGGAATGGAGTCTTTTAAAAGAATGTTAAATAATTTCCTACAGTAAGTTATCAGTACTCTATCCACATGTACTTTACCAATAAAAATAATATATATTAAACACAGATTTCCATTGCTTTTCACAAAAGGTTTATGAAGCAGAAATTACAAATAAAAGATACAGAGGATTCACACAAGTCCTCTCAGTTAAGTTTGGGAGCAAATTGTGAATCCAGGAACCTAACTCCAAAGTCCAAAATAATTCCATCTACTTATGAAACCCAAACAACAGCTGTTCTAAAACAATGGTTTCCAAACATGAATCCATGATAAAACTTTAATCTGGCAAGCTGCAAAAAGAGAAAAGCAATGGCCATATATAGTCACTGACAGGTTGGCAGTGACTTTTTGTTTTTCTCTGCAGTCAGCATGTATTCTGAGTTTACAGTCTTAGTATGTGTGTTCTCTGAAAGAACAGCAGTATACATGGTTCCGCTCTTCCAATACCGATATATTAAAAAAGTAAAAGATGGCAACTGGTACAGCCTAAAAATCAAAACAAAAGCGTCTCCAGCAGTGGCCGGCCACTGCTCTAGGGAAGTTTCAAATTGTTAATGAGCAGCAGCCTCAGAGAAGACTGAGCAAGAACAGAAAGGCCTGAGCTGGGGAACCTGGCTATTGAGGCAGCTGTCCTGTTTGACTCCACCACGTACAGACCCTGGTCCGGTCGTCAACACCTCTCCCGCGCAGGCCGTGTGCCCAAGCCAGGCCACGGCGCTGACCCCGGCGCTGACCCGGCATCCAGCTGAGGAGCGTCTGCGATGAGGGTCAGCGCCCCGGAGGGCCGGCAAGGGCGCGAACCTCCCTCCGCGCATGCCCACCCGCCCCGACCCCACCCCGCTCACCAGGGTTCCTCTCGCAGTCTAGCCCTGGGTACTGTCGCCTCGGTGGCAGGCCGCTAGGAGATGACACTAGAAAACAACGCGGCACCAAACCAGTCCCAAAATAATGGCCGAGCCCGGGACATCCCGACTTCCGGTTGCTTACCACCCCAATCGCCGACTCTCTATGAAGCCACGTCTCTATGGTCCCTGGTTTTCCCCAGAGGAGGCGAGGAGGGGCGGAGCTCCTAGGCCTATGGGTCTTCAGATTGTTGGTGTGTGGGCCAATTTTCTGTTACGAGGCTGGGGATACCTCAAGGAATCACAAGATGTTTGACCCTTGAAAGATGTCTATTGCTGGTCCCAAAAATTAGCCTACTGCGCGTCCTGCATCTCCACCCTGAGACAGACAGACAGACAGACAGACACACACACACACACACACTTTTCAGTTGTATATGGCCAGCAAATGCAGAACATTTAAATTGAATGAAGCTAAAGTTCAAACCAGAACTGGAATATCACTAAAAGAATATAAACATAACTTGTGGGTCACCCTCTTTCACATTTCATTTACTTCCTACATGAGTCCTTTGAAATAGATAATATTGTCACAGCTTTAATGACACTGAAAGTGTTTCATAATTTTCTGCCTAATAACTAGCAAGTTATTGAAATTCAAGGAAAGTGCTCTTTCCACCAACATATGTAGGCTTTTGTCCACACTGAGGCAAGCAAACCACTCAGGATTGGAAGGCAAGACGCAGATGGGGAGAAAAGTCAGGAAAACCAGTGTGAAGAGTGTCTTCAACCTCCTGAATGTTTTAGCCATGGTTGGGTTTTAGAGAACTCAGTTAATATGAATGAAAACCTTCATTAATATGCCCTGTTCACAAGGAATCCATCTAAATGTTTGACAATCTGATGTGGGGTAGAAAGCAGGGAGGTTGCTACTGGAGTTCACACCAACTGGATTTTTCATATAAGTTATAACTATTGAATACACTCTGCTCTGGAGAGGCCCAAAAGTGGTGGGTTAAAAAAATTTTTTCTTAAAAGGTATAGTAAAGAAAATGTTAACTGAGGCCCTTTCTTGCTTTAGGGTTTTGGAAAAACAATGGATCAAGTTACAACACAGAAAGGGAATATTTTCAAACACTAGAATTCTTTGACAGATATTAAAAGTAGATTTTGCTTGCTATTTAAAGAATATGCCCTTTTTGCTCTATTACATGGACAGCTCTTCTACCCTTTAATTTTTTGTACAGCTGTGAATAAATGTCTGATACCCATCTTGGGTCAGGAATGGATCCTTGTTCCCCAGTGTTGAAGATGAAAAACCTGAGAAATGCTGAGGCAAGCATAGAAAGCAAGTTGTATTTAAGAAAGTGATAGCGACTGACTTCTCTGAAGAGAAGGGGGCTTCAGAGCTGGAAAACCCACGTGTGTGTGTGTGTAGGGATCAGCACAGTGGGCTCATTTTATAGGATTGTTCTCTTAGCCTCGTGTTCCCTCCATCCTCATCTATCTGTCCCTTCACCACTCTACCCATCAAACGGCTATAGAGCTCTGATTTATATGAATATGAAAATAACAAGCTTCATATAGAAGGAAGTCAGAATCACTTTATTCTAAAAAGTCAGCTCCTTGAAGAAAAGCAGATTGAATTGTTTTCTTCCTACTCTGAAAGAAGATAGAAAAGAAAAGGCCAGTAATATAAGAATAGCAGAAGTTTATTGGAAGAATTATCATTATTTCCTGCAAAAACAGTTTTATGACTCCAGTTTAATGATATTAGAAGTGACTAAAACCAGTCTGGTAACTAAAAACCATTTAATAATATGAGCATCCTTTTATTTACACTGGATGGAAAAATTAAAAAAGGAAGTCTGTCACTGAAGCTATAGACCTGCAATAAAATTCAGTCTTATGGAATTTACATACAATACAATTACTCAACTAAATCAAGTTTTGGTTTCAATTTTCTACCAAGTAAGACATAACATAGTATACACCATCTATGAAAGAAACCTCTAAATCCAGGGAAATAACATTTTTCTAAGCAGGTTTCTTTATGTGTTTCCCTATAATTGTATTAAATGAGATTTCACATCTTCCTCTCATCTAAGAAAGCACACATTTTTATTCCACAGAGAGCAGTTCTACATAATCAGGATATAGTGGCTAAAAATAGTACCTCTTCATATGCCTCAGGAAAATTCAGGGAACTAAAACCATGAGATAAGGTGACAACATAGGAAGCCAGCAGATGACAAAAACAAGGACCGATAATACACAGTACTGTCATGATGTACATTTCAAGAGGGCAGTGTTTCTGATGGAGAATAGGAAAGAAATGGCAGTACAGAGAGGTACACGGCTTGAGGGAGACAAAAACTAGTAATTGAGGGACTTCAGAGGAAGCATTGCCCTAGGGAATAGCCAGGTTCCACTGGAACAATGTGAAGAAAACACACTCAGAAATAGCCCCTGAATTCAGAGGATATTATGAGAGGAGTTTAAGAATGGTCCTAGCTGCAGGTTTAAACTCCAAGGCAAGAGCTGACAGTAAGGGTTTCAAGGGACTATGTTCCTAACATTCCTGGGCCAAGAAAGTGATCTTTTGTATTCAGATCCTGGATATTGGATAACATGATATCCATCCTAGAAGGATACTCTATTTACTCTTAAAGATCACAGAGTCTTTCTTGATGTAAAAGAAAGCCTATCTGAATTCTAGATAATACGACATAGCAATGGGAAAATGATGACACCATGATCAAAGAATAGCTGCTCAGCAATGAATGCTCCTGAATGCAGCAAATCTTTTCCATGCTGCACAAACCTGCTTTGACTATGCAAAGAGGACTATTATGTCACAAAATTGTGTAAAAACCACTATCCAAAAATCAGGACAAAGCCAAACAATCCTGTTTTACACAAATATACACCTTTCACACTCTTCACTTCTTTCTTTCCAGTAACTGCAAGGAAGATATATATATGAGTGTGTGTACATATATATATCCCTTTAAAACTAAATTATGAGGTAGAGATGGGCCATACATCTCAGAAAAAAAATAGCATCTTCCTTATGAAATCAATGTCAAATAATTGTCCAGATACAACCACCTTTCATAGAGGTGGATGCCCCGGAGAACCCCACTCATACACAGAATCACCATGGCAGAGGCACTTTGGTATAATGAAGAAATTATGGACTTCAAAGTCAGATCTCGGCTTAAATCCTGGCTCCAAGCACTAATTAGCTTGTCACCTAACCTCACAAATTTTCTTGTACAAAATGTTGGATTGAATAAGATAACAAATCATTAATAATTCCTAAAACAATGAATCACTATGTATAAGACAAATGACAATGGGCTTCGGAACTTACTATATACAAAGAAAAGGAATGTGGAGATTCAGGGCATGATGGTGGTGCATGCCAGAATCTCAGTGACTCGGAAAGCGGAGGCAGGAGGATCGCAAGTTTAATGTCAGTCTCAGCAATTTAACAAGACTCTCAGCAACTTTGCAATACCTGCCTCCAAATAAAAAGGAGTAGGGATGGAGCTCAGTGGGAAAGCATCCCTGGGTTCAATCCCCAGGGCTGCTCCCCCACTATGGCAGAAAAAAAAAAAAAAAAAAAGAATGGAGAGATCTAACTGTTGCTGGATGCATTTTGAATAGGACTTAAAAACATTTTGAATACTGGTTGAAAATGGGTATAGGCCTTCTTAAAGCGTTGGCCATAAAGAAGGCAGAGAAAGCTGGTGAGCATGCGTCTGTAGTACTGACTACTCAGCATTCTTCCCTCCCTGCTTCTGAGGAAGATTTTTCTCAATGATAAAAGAAAGAAACCCCAATTCCTAGCTTTATAAGAGTTGTATGAAGAAAAGAAACTTGCAGCAACCAAGATTATGAAAAATGAGCCAATATGGCTAAAAATCATGGTGTTAAATTGAAAGTTTGTTGAGTTGCCAAACCAAACTCAGAACTGCTTACTACTAGACTTCCTCTTAAGTTTTTACACTTGGTATTCTGTTCATTACCTGAAAACCTACTGTTACCTTTGGCAAAAGTTCTGTCAAGTGTTTCAAAACATTGCTATAATACTTGTATACCACTACAATAGCCTACTCTTGGGCTATTATTATTTACCATGTATCAGGCTTGTCATCCATCACATGCACCATTTTATTTAATCTTCACAGCAATCCTGTGAGGCAGAGAATTATTCCCTTTTTACAGAAAAGTCTGAGCGTTTAAATTTACTTGTCTAAAATTGACAAGTGAATACTTGGCAGACTTGATATTAGAACACAGATCACCTACTAAGCTCTATATAAGATGTGAATGCAGTCTTTCACTACTTTTATTATGTAATGATTCCTGGAACTCTTTATAGTTTTTGAGCCTAGAATTGATTCAATTTCATAAAGGAACGTGTTTTTCTATTTGCCCAGACACATATTGGAAAGATGGAGCCTATATAGTTCTTCATCATCTGCAGATCCTTCCACTACTGAGGGAAAGTAAGACGCCCTAAATATTTTCCTGTTCTTTTCACCTAACAGCGATCACACACTTTGCCGACAACTCTATAGTCAATTTATCTTAAAACTGCAAAAGACAAAGTATAATTTTACTACCAGGAAATCACCTGTAGAAGGAATTGACTCACTTATGGTTCCACTACAGCTAAATGCCAGTATTAAGACGTAATTCTGAGACTTTAGACTGTATACTATGCGCCTTTCCCAGAACAGTTGAGTGAAAATGAGCATGGATTTACTGCATTTAAAAAATACTATACTTTTTTCCCTAAATATAAAAGTAGAGCATTTTCATTGTAGAAAATCTAGAAAACATAGAAAAGTATACAAAAGAAAATAGAAATAATCTACAATTCTATCACATAGAGATAACATTTTAGTTTGCTTTAAGATTTTAAAATTTTTGATATTTCATTGAAATTTTTCTTTTTCCTTACTAGAGGTTAAACCCAGGGGTGCTTAACCACTGAGCAACATCCTTAGCCCTTTTTATTTTGAGACAGTCTCTTTAAGTTGCTTAGGCTTTGCCTCATTGCTAAGGCTGGCCTCAAACTTGTGATCCTCCTGCCTCAGCCCCTGAGTCACTGGGATTACAGGCATGTGCCACCATGTCCAGCTTTATCTTCTATTTTATCCAAATCATTTCCCCATGACATCACATATTCTAGGGCTATTATGTTTACAGTGGCTGCAGAACCATCATATAGATAGAGCAGCATTCATTTAACCCCATCCTATTGAAAACTGAGGTCTCTCTCCCTCTCATACATTTATGTATGATGCTAGCATGAATATCCCTTTTGTTAACCTTTGTCTATTATTATTTTCCCTATATGGATTCTTAGAAATAGAGTTAAAATTAACACTGAAAATTGTTTTTTAGAAGCATTTAGCTATATTACTGCCAATGTTTGTTATTTACAAGGTTTCTTTCTCTTCATTATGTTTTCTCTGATGTTGAATAAGTTGTGAGCTGTAACGATAGGCTTTCCCACACTCACTACACTTATAGGGTTTCTCTTTAGTGTGGGTTCTCAAATGTAGAATAACTTGAGAAGTCTGCCTGAAGGTTTTCCCACACTCATTACATTTATAGGGTTTCTCTCCAGTGTGGACTCTCTGATGATCAATAAGGTTTCGATTAGAAGTAAATGCTTTCCCACACTCATTACATTTGTAAGGCTTCTCTCTTCGATGAAGTCTCTGATGTTCATTAAGGGTCTTCCTTAAGATGAAAGCTTTTCCACATTCATCACATTCGTAGGGTTTCTCCCCCGTGTGAATTCTCTGATGGTCCATAATCTTTGTATTAGAACCACAAGTTTTCCCGCACTCCTTGCACTTGTAAATTTTTTTTCCTTTGTGCATTCTCTGATGTTGTGTAAGGTTTGAACTGCGGCTAAAGGCTTTCCCACACTCAATACAAGTGTAGGGCTTCTCCCCAGTGTGAACTCTGTGGTGTGAAATAAGCCCTGAACTCCGACTAAAAGCTTTCCCACACTCCTTACATTCAAACGTCTTTTCCCCACTGTGGATTCCCTGGTGCCGAATGAGGTGTGACTTACCACTGAAAGATTTCCCACATTCACTACAAGTATAAGGCTTTAGTCCAGTGTGGATTCTCCGATGAACCACAAGGTTGGAGCTATGACTGAAGGCTTTCCCACACTCCTTACACTTATAGGGTTTCTCCCCTGTATGGATCCGCTCATGCACTGTAAGGTTGGCACTCTGACTAAAGGCTTTCCCACACTCAGTACATACATATTGTCTCTTTTCAGCCTGAACTCTGTCATGTGTTGCCGAGTCATAGCATTGACTACCATCTTTTTCAGATTCTTGATCACTCACTTCTATGAATGTTTTACTGTCTTTAACTGCCTTATGTTTGAAGTTTCTTGTCTTTCTCTTCATTTTCTATTGCTTGGAACATTCCAACAACCTTGCTAGTCTTCTCTTTTCCTTCAGAGGAGCTTTTGAAATTTTGAATTTATTGGCAACACCTATGTGAAATTCTCTTGAGAGTACAATTCAGTTCTAATTTTCCTGGATTGATGCTTTGGAATCAACACCTCCTCAGTCCCAATTTCAGCATCTGATGGGAAAAACAGAAATCGTACATGTCACCTGTTCTCTGTGCTAAGGACAGTAAGATGTGGTAGATCGCAGATCACAGGGTCTTACCTGGAAGGGTAAGTATTCAAAGGCAGAGGAACTAATCAAAAAGATGAGAAAACTTAGACATAAAGACCAAGTTAAAGGGTTCTGGAAAATCATGAGCTCCTCTTGGCAATAACTAGTACAAAATGAATCCTGTTTTCCTCTTGCTTCACTTTCAGAACTGTAGCCATTTAACTCCTAATGACAGGCTCAAGTATAATCTGGTACCCAGAAAAAGTAAAATGAAAGATCCTTAGTTCAGTAACTGAAATGATTAATTGTCAGATCACTTTGATTTTTAGTCCTTGCTGACATATTTCCTAAGTACTAGTGATATACTGGTGGGCATACAATAGGCACTCAAAATTTATTTTATAGGATAGTGACTGGGACTCTTTTGTGTGTGTGAGTGTGTGTGTGTGTGGCACTGGGGATCAAACCCAAGGCCTTGTATATGTTAGGCAAGTGTTTAAACACTGAGCCACATCCCCAGCTCTTAGCAACTGAAATTCTGTCTTAGGATATAACTAAGATTTCATCTTTTGCTCTAGGTCCAGGTACTAGGCTCCAGTCTAGGTCTCTGGATTTAAGTCCTATTTTGATAAATGTTAATACATTCTTTCAATACTGAATCCTAGTCACATCACAGCCTACTTTATAGGGGCTGATCTGTAGCTAGAGCCAGAAAAAATATGCTAGTTTTATGTGTCTGCTTTTCACCATTTACCACACTGGCAGATTGGTCTACTGGATGAATCTGAGAGGCTAAACTGGGAAAGAAGATTAGTTACAATATGACAGAGGAACTCTGATAGGACCTTGCATGTTAAGAATGTAAGTATGGCAAAAGGGAGAGAGTAGGAGACACGACAACCAAGAGGGCCCAAGACAAGGGTTTTTTTGTTTTGTTTTGTTTTTTGTTTTTAAATTCCCTTGCAGTACTGGGGATGGAACCCAGGGGCATTCTTACTACTGAACTAAAAGCCCAGCACACCCCACTTTTTTTTGAGATAGGGTCTTGCTAAGTGGCTGACGCTAGCCTCGAATCTGCCATCCCCCACCTCAGCCTCTCGAGTTCCTGAATTACAGGCATACGCCATCATACCCAGCTTCTTTTCCATTTCTAAGCTTCTCTGAAATTTACCTTTTCTTCATACATTTCTTAAATTAATAATTATTTAGCACCCTATTCTGTACCCATCACTGTTCTGAGTCTAATCCAAAGAAAATGTAAAGAAACATTGTTATGAACTGAATGTTTGTGTTTTTAAAATTCCTAAGTTGGAGCCCTGATCCCTGCAATGTTACCATATTTGGAGATTGGGCCTCTAAGGAGATAATTATGGTTAAATGAGGTCATAAGGATGGTCACTTATCCAAAAGAATCAGTGTCATAAATTATAAGAAGAAACACCAAAGTGAGCACTCGCTCTCCTGTATTCGGATGAGCAAAGGCCATGTGAACAACACAGAAAGTGGCCATTCACAAACCAGGATGTGACCCCTCAACAGAAACCAAACTGACTGATTTCAGACTTCTAGCCTCCAGAATTTTAACAAAATAATGGTGGTGGCTGGAGTAAGGTAATATAAGCATAAAATATATTTACCTCTAAGAAGCTCTCAATGGAGTAGTATAATAAAACAATAAGAAAGTAAATTACAAATTTACAAATTACCCAAGTGGGAGATGAAGGGGAAGGGAGGAGCAATTACTGGGACTTAGAATGCTAGGAGAAAGGTCTTCAAAAGGCAGAACTTTAGTTGAGCTTCAGAAGAGAAACAGGAATTATTTTTTCTCAAAAGGAAGGTGGCACAGGGTTGGTGTACTCACAAATAAGTGGGAAATTACACTATAGCATACACTTCATGCTGGCAGGGATTTTGTTTTGGAAGCTTTTTTAAAATATATATATACTGGGATTGAACTCAGGGGAATTCAACCACTGAGGCACATCCCCAGCCTTTTTTTGTGTTTTATTTAGAGGCAGGGTCTCACTGAGTTGTTTAGGGCCTTGCTAAATTGCTGAGGCTGGCTTTGAACACAGGATCCTTCTGTCTCAGCCTTCTGAGTTGCTAGGATTACAGGTGTGTGCCACCAATTCTGGCAGGGATTTTGTTTTGTTTACAAGTGTATTTCCTAGGGTCTAGAACAGATATAAGAACTTAGTCTGCACTCAAAATTCTTTTGTTGCTCAATCAACAAAATGAATATATGAAAGAATCAAGTTGCCTGAAGTGAATCCAGTCACAACACTAAAACTGCAAGACAAAAAAATATATATATATATAGATATATAGATATAGCTATATATATACATATATATATATATATATATAGATATAATTTGATGGTCAATGAGAAACAAGTTCTAAAACAAAGAATAAAATCTACTCTTAATTTTCTTCCCCAATTTTATATTCTGTTTTTCTATCTTGTTTTTCTCCTCTCCTGTTACTCTCGTCTTTCTTACTTATAAATTCAGTTTTTTAAGTTTTACCATTCATTTCCCCTAAGGCTCATATTTCCTTCCTCTCTGCCACCTCTGAAAACATTCATGTTTCTCTCAGCTTTATTAAGCGGAAAGCAGAGGAGACAGGCAGCTGAGGTATTCCACAGGAAGTAAACTGAGAGAAATAAAAAGGAAAGAGTCCAAGACATGTAGCCTAAGAGTAGAGTGATCATATATTTTGGTTTTCCCAGAACGGTGCTGGTTTATAACTGCTATCCCAATATCATATTTAATAGTTCCTCTCTTTAACTCACTAAAGCATCCCAGTTTGGATAATAAACTTTGTATCACTCTCTTGAAAAGTGAAAATAGGAAAAGAATATTCTAGGAAGATTAGCCTAGATGGCTTAAAGGGGGGAAAGAAGAATGGAGGAAGAGAAATGAATTAGGAAAAATGTTTAGAAATGTGATATGGATGACCACTGTATCATCTAGCAGGATCTAGCACTTTGTAGGTGCTCAATAAATGTTTGTTGAATGAATGAACTATGAATGAGACAACAAGGAAGATTGAGACAGGGCAGAGGACAATGAAATCCAGTTGTTCCAAGAAAGCATCCACATACATCAGATTGGATACAGAGGATGACTGATGGAAACAATCTAAGGTCATCTGATGCGTATCTGATGTATCAAGAATGGTAGTACTGGGGGCTGGGGTTGTAGCTCAGTGGTAGAGCACTTGCGTAGCATGTGTGAGACATTGGGTTTGATTCTCAGCACTGCATAAAAATAAATGAATAAAAATAAAGGTCCATCAACATCTAAAAAAAGAATGGTAGTGTTGCCAAGCAAGATTGGGAAACGGGAAAACACTTTAGACAAAAGGAGAAGAAATGGAAAAATGTCAAGGATGCAAATTTGAGAATAAGACAGAAAACAGAGAAAGTCATGGAAATGTATAATCTTACAAGCTAGGGATTGGGTTAGAAGGGGCAGGTAGGGGAAAAGCAATGCACAGGGATCTATGAGAAGGTCCAGGGTGTTTCTGCAGGACCCCAGTAAGAAGCAGGACTAGACAGGAGATCAAGGAGGGTCACTCTAAAGAGAGTTTGATCAAAAGGAAACCTAACTACAAGCTGCCCTCTGCCCAGCTGAATGGAAAACTCCTTCAGAAGTCCTGGAAGAACCTCCAGGCATGAGAGAGGTGCGGGCTTTACTGGAGAAGCAGTAAGAGGAGAAGATGAGGCCATTGGGCTAGTAGGACACTATGGGTATTTAGGTAACTGTGCACATAAACTCAGTTTGGGGCAGCCAGCAAATGAATAAAGCCCAAGAAGACAGAACAGATTTTCTACTTATTAATCTCTGAGACTGGTAGGTAAGTTTTCTGATCCCAAGAAAACCATCCATTTCAGGCTGTGAGGAACTTGCAAAGGGCAGAGTCCTTTTCCCACAAAGAGCAAGAGCAAAAGTGTCTTTACCCAGAGAAGCTGTATTCCTTTAATTCACTCGTGTCATCTGTCCCTCTGAGTACTGGTCACATGGTCCTTGGTCATTAACTGCAATGTAGGGAAGGAATGAGAGGAAATACATGAAAATATATTCAAAAGACAGATGGGTAAAATATGAAAATTGGAAGGAAAAAAAACACAAAATAACAACAATAACAAGAAAATATCAAGGGAGTACTTGACCTTAGGTAAAGACAAGCCTTTAGGATTCAAGCATAAAATAAAGGCTGTATCCACAATGCAAAAGCTGATATATTTGACTATATAAAAATTTCTACACTTAAAAAAACCCTGACCATAACAGATATACAATATAAACTGGGCTTTATGCTAGAATTGCTCATGTGTATGTCTGTGCCCCTCATATTCACATGTACACATTAAACACTAAGTCACAAGAGAGCAGGGCTCATGATATTTGTCTGTGGATACCATACATCACCTGACATGAAGAAAGCTCAGTAAACATTGCTTAATTTGCAATGTTCAACAATTTCAAAATTCTATCCAATATTTGGAGTACATACCAGGAGGGTGAGAAGTGAGTCCACTGAACATTACCTCCTCTGCCTGTTCATCCTTTTGTGCTTCAGATTGTCTAATAAACACCATGATAGTATATTTGTATCCTGTCAATTCTATCTCAATATGGCCATCCAAGGGCCTAAATTCCCTAAGAAACTGACCAGTCCCACTAGTCACAGCTTCTCAGAATGTAAGAGCTAGGAGGGACCTCCCAGGCTACTTGGCCTCATAACCAAATATGCCAATGGGGAAACTGGAACTTAGAGGAGAGCTGGAACT